ATTTATAATATTATTATTATATAAATATAATGATATTATTTGTATATTACTTTATAATAGTATATATATATAAATAATTTATTAATTAATTAGCAGCATGGTGGCGCATGCTATATTCCAGCTACTCAGGAGACGTAGGCAAGGGATCTCTTGAGCCCAGGAGTTTGAGGTTTCAATGAGCTAGGATGACGCTACTGCACTCCACCCAAGGTGACAGAGAAAGACTCTGTCTCAAAAAAAAAAGGAGGCTTTTGAGCTCCTAAAGCCTTAGGTAAGAAGCAAGGAGAAAGACCTACCATTTGAATGTATTAAATATCTACTTATATATATATATCTCCTGGTTCCATGTGAGAACAGAGAAGGCAGACTTCATGCCATCTCATCATTTGGAAACAAAACCAGACACCAAAACAAGGATGTGGATGCAAAACAGAAGCAGAAAGCAGCTCACCAAAAATCTTACCACGGGAACTTGCCGCAGACTCTGGCTGTGCCACGGCAGTCTGGCAAGGTGCAAAGCAGCCGCGGTGGTTGCACAACCCCTCAGGGTTGCACAATCCGGTTCTTCACCACCTGGGCACGCCACTGCCGAGGTGTGTTCCCAAGGGAGGGGCTGGGAGGGAAGCTGGCTGGCCGAGTGACTGAGCAACGTGCTGGTGCGTGCCTAGACTGTGCGCGCGGCTGATCACCCAGAGGTGCGAAGTGTGGCGCAGGCGTAGCAGGCAGGGAGGAGAGGAGAGGGAGAAGAGAAGATTCCAATTTTTGTGGTTGGATGCACCATCACTCAATGCAGAGAGGCTGTCGTGAAGAATTCTCGCTAGCTTGCACTTTTGAGGCTGTTTAATTTTTTATTGTTGAGCATGAACAATGAAAGAGAGCAGTTTCCTGTTTCTTGGCCCCAACCCCCTACTGCTGAGGAATTTGGGTTTAAACTGCCAGGAGAGGAACGTGTTAATTGTTAAGGATTAGGCTTGACAGAGATGCTTAGCGTATGAAGAAGTCCTTTTCACTCAGCTTTCTACAGAGATCTTAAAGGAAAAAAAAAAAAAATCCAAACTGCCATGTGAAGCTAAGCTGGCAGAGAGAATGATCTGCTCCGTGCAAATATGCCAACAGCTTTACAAATGAGGACTATGGAATCAGGATTAAGAGCCTGCAGATCATTTATCAGTGACAAAACAAAGATTCTGTAGCCTTGAGACTCCGGGGCCATGGAGCGCTCATGGCGTTAAACGTGCCGCTGCAGAAGCTAATAGAGCGAGTGTTAACCGTTGATAACCCGATTGAATGCTGGCAGCGACGGAGTCCTATCACTCAGGGCCAGAGAGCTGTTGTGACCGTGCGCAGATTGGCTTCGGAACCGGTGTTAAATCTGGTTTAGCTGTACTTTAGAAAAAAAAACAGTGGCTGAGGAGACTTGGGCAATGGTTGAATCACTGGAACTTTTCAGTTCCCTCCTTGAAGTTTAGACGGTTCTGAATAATATGCAGGCACTCAGCAAAGGATAACTCCTCCCCATAGCTTCCCTGCTAGACAAACAGAATCAGCGTGACAAAACTACAGAGGGGTTCCATCAAATGTACATTCACATAAATGTGTTTGGATACACTCCCCCATCCTCAGAGTGTGCAAAGGAAAGAAAATGAGAAACTTGAGTTCATCTACCCCTCTACCCATATCCCATGTTTTTCTCATATCGCCTGGCCTTCTACGGAGCTAGGGAAAAGAGGTCACAGCCGAAATCAAAAGAGACGTTGAAGACATTAATTTTGGTTTCTGATTCTGAGGGTTTAGGTTTAAGAATAATTTTGACTCTTGGCTTTATGGAACTCTCCCCTCAAGTTCTTACTTTAAAATCTGTGACCTCCCCACCCAGCAGCTCTCTGCCCCTTAAACAAATCTGCAGTTCTCATCACTCTCTCAAACCGGAGGCAGCAAGGCACAGAGGAATGACCACTGACCGGCATTCTCTGGCTGCTAGACCATAGCCCCTGCTCTGTCGTCTAACTTCCAGACCCTTTCAAAGACAAGATTACAGCCGAAATGGAAGTTCTTATTCACTACAACTTACTAAAACACTATGAGTGTTTCCAGCTTTTTTTCCTCCCTGATTTGCATCTTTTCTATCCATCAAAATTAAGTGGTCACCCCAGTGGATAAATATTGTCTCTGAAGCTATATTCTGAGCAGCACTTAGAGATTAGCATTTCCAAGGACAAATACCCGATTTAATACCTGTCACTGCCAACCACGTGCTATCACTATTTGCACAGTTTTACCTTTAATATGACACATTTATTTTCATGGCATTTCATTACAGTCTCCGTGAACAATGACTTAGCAGAGAGGAATTTGTTGGTTTTAATGCTTGTTTAATGATGTGCTGGACCAGCACTTTCCACTGGAACTTTCTGGGATGATGTGAGTCTTCCATATCTGTGTCTTCCAGTAGAGTAACTACTAGCCACACAGGCAATAGCACTTAGAATTGACTATTCAAAATATTATCACTTCAACTTATAATCAATAAAAAATTGAGATATTTTACAGTCCTTTTTTTCATACTAAGTCTTCAATATTTGGTGTGCATTTCATAATTCCAACACATCTCAATTTAGACTAGCCATATTTCATGTGTTCAACAGCCACATGTAGCTAGTGGCTAACATATTGTACAAGGCAGCACAGACAGTAGCCACCCTGAGGCTAACTTTTCCATGGATAACATGAGCATGCTTACAGCAACAATAATCAAAAACACTCTTGCCTTTAACTAGGGATGCTAAACAATGTTAAACATAAACACCAAACTGGCTATATTTATTTTTACTAAAGTATACATAGCTATGTAAAATATTTGAGTTTCCATTCCTTTCTAAAGATGTTTCTTGTTCCTTTGCTTTGAATTAAAGTAATTAACTAATTTTACCAACATGTCAATATTTACTGCTAATTATACAAGAACATCTACAATTTGAAGAAATGCAATGTGATTGTGTATCATGGAATTCTTAAGCTCAGTGCCTGGTAATTTCCATATCAATAATTTCCATTCATTTAATGGGACACAATAGAAGCTGATTTTAGAATAAAAATGTACAATGAAAAAAGTAATTATAGAGAATCACTTGGCAGCAAAGTAGATAACCAATAAGCCAATGACCTGATCAACGAGTGTTAGATGCATTAAATGCAAAAGATGATCCTGAAGTGTCCATTAGCTGAAATTCTACAAATAAATTACGTCAAAATAATCAATACCGCCAGCTGACAATGTAACCTATAACAGTGGATTAGGAAGCAATTTCAAAGATTTGCATTGCTCACGCTTGAGTGCCTTTTCAACTTTTACATTGCAAACCATACCTCCTCCCCCGTCTCAAGCGCCCTCTATAATGCGTTTTCTAAATTGGCTTGTTTCATTCATACCACATAGTAATGGAAAATGGATAAAGGCAGTCACGTGGGTTTTCTGTCTCTCCAGGACATACCTGGCTGAAACATGCTCGATATTTGCTAATGGCTTTGGAGGGAGAAGCTATGATGTACAGCCTTTGCTTTTGAAAGCAGAGAGAAAGGAAACTTGTGAGGGGATGAACTGTGTGTGTGTGTGGGGGGGGTCAGTTGTATAGATTGGATGGTTGCCTTTTAAACTTGGACAGGAAAGTTGTGTTGTCACGATGTGTCTGGAATGTCAGCCTGGCTCCTGACTCGAAGAAGGGAAGCAAAATGCTATTGCTGTGGCCTCGTGCACCGCCAGACTAATCAGCATCGCTGCTTCCACTTTACAACAGTTTATGCAGTTTGATTTTGTACATCCCATAAGTGTTTACACATTGCAAAGTTAGCTGACTGGGAGAAGACAGGATAATAATCTCACTATTATATATTATTTAACTGGTATTAATCTTTCATTGGCTTCTCGAGCAGGAGTAAGATTTTGCTGTGCTCAGGAAAACAATCAGGAGCTGGCTATGTATGAGCTACGCTCACTTGTAAAAGGCTGGCCCTGCCTTCAAAGAGCTTGATCCAAGAATGGAGGTAGGGAACACAGAGGCCTCCTCATACCCCTTCTCTCTTAATTCTTCATAGTACAGCTGAAAAGGAAGCAGAGGGCTACCATTTCCTAAAGACCTCCTATGTATCAGGCACCATGCTAGGTGCAGGTAGATAATACCTACTTGTATTGACATTTGTTTCACAAAGGCATTGCTAGTAATCAGAAAGGGGCATTATTTTGAACATAAAGAGGAGAAAATTTTCTGCCCATCCCAGTAGCAAAATCCTGGCATCCCAGGATTCCACGAGAAAATATCAGCAGGGCACTTTGATATTTTTTGTTCATAAGAAAGGAAATTAATCTAGGGGTGGTGAGGTGAGGCTGTTATTTGCCCCTCTCTAGTGCTATAGCAATGGTGGGTATATTACTGGGTGGCAGGATTAAGCTGCTTAAGACAAGACCAGTAAAAGCCAGAAACATTATCCTTTCAAAGCAGCAAATAATATTAGGTCCCAAGAGCCAGAAGTTGAATTCTTCTTTGGAGTAATTTCTGGAAAAGGGAAGGAGACCTTTCGTTGTGCATGTAAAAGTAAGTAACACATCCATTATTTTAGGAAAAATTATGCAATGAATATTAACATAAAAATTGATGTTGGCAGGGCACAGCAGCTCATGCCTGTAATCCTAGCACTTTGGGAAGTCAAGGCAGGAGGATTGCTTGAGGCTATAAGTTCAAGACCAGCCAGAGAAACATAGCAAGATCCTATCTCTACAAAAAATTTAAAAATTAGCTAGGTATGGTGGCATGTGCCTATAGTCACAGTTATTCAGGAGGCTGAGGTAGGAGGATCACTTGAGCCCAGGCATTGGAGGTTGTGGGAAGCCATGATGACACCATTGTACTCTAGCCCAAGCAACAGAGCAAGGCTCTGTCTAAAAAAGAAAGAAAGAAAAAAAAAGTTGATGTTAAAGGACTATTTTTAAAAATAAAATCATGACTCATACAAACATAAAATGAACCCATGTCAAAGATTTTATTTAACTCATTAATTAATGAGGAAACCAGTAAGACGTTACAACAGGTTCAAGAGAGAATTCAAAGAGTAGATACACCTATGGGCAATCAAGAATGCTGGCAAATTTTCTTAACAGATGCAAAAACTGACTTGAGGGAGTTGCATGCTGTGGTAAACAGAATTCTGAGATTCCTGCCCTCTAGTGTACATACCCCATAGAATCCACTCCCTTTGAGTATGGGCGGGACTCTGGATGTGATGGATTTCATTCTCATGATTAGCTTACATCATGATTAGGTTAGATGACAAAGGCGAACAGATTTTGCAGGTGTAATTAAATCTTTGGGACAAATTAATCAGAAAGGTGATTCCTCTGAGTGAGTCTGACCTAATCAAGCAAATCCTTAAAGGAAGAGATTTGAGGTAGAAAAGATTCTGCTGGCCTTTTCTTTATTTCTTTTGTTTCTTTGTTTCTGCCCTTTGCGAACAAATCTGCTGGGCTTTAAGAAGCAAACTACCAAGTTGTAGAGAGGGCCACAGGGTAGGGAATGGCAGGCAGCATCTAGAGCTGAGATTAGCCCATATTGACAGCCGGCAAGAAAGTAGGAACCTCAGTCCTACAGCTGCGAGATAAATTCTGCCAACAAAGTGAGCTTGGAAGAGGAGTCCAGGCCACAGATGAGATGCCAGCCCAAGCCAACACCTTGGTTTCTGCCTGCTGAGACTCTGAGCAGAAGACCCAGTTAACCTATGCCTGGACTCCGGAGCCACAAAAAATACAAGATAATAAGTTTATGTTATATTATATGAAGTTATTAAGTTTGGGGTAGCTTGTGAAGCAGCAATAGAAAACTAATATACGTGGTCATGGGAGAGGATCATTTTGTATTCTTATCAGTTAGCTACACCTGATAGGTTGTAAAATAGCTCAAGGCAATGAAAGGTGCACTGATCCCACAGAATCAAATACCCTGGAAGGCTGCCCAAGACACCACCTAGATTTTCATTGAATGTACTCAGTAATTTACTTGGTCCTTCTATATAGTGAGAAATGTTTCATTTGGTAAAGTGCCTATTTCACTGACAATATTGTTTTATTTTTATTTAAAGAATCCTTTTTTTTTTCTTGAATAGATGTAGACTACACTTTGGTTTTTTGGACACGTGAGGGGGTAAGGGGTGCCTAGCTTCCAGGAGCTGCAGAGTGGAGACCTGAGTAGGCTGCAGAAAGGATCACACACCTGTCATTGCTGAGGAAGCGGAACTGAGCAAACCTCAGCCTGGACTAAGAGGTTGGTGTTCTGTGTGCAGTGAAAGTTAAGGCTGATTTTAGCCATTCACCTATTTATTCACTCAACAAACGAATCCATTGCCTACCTGGTTCTAGACAGTGACATGCTGCATCAAAAAAGCATAAGTCCCCAACCTCGCAGAGTTTACATTCCAATGGAGGAATGAGAACTCTATTGATATTTGACCATTGTGTTCAGCCATGAAAAACCTTCTGAAGTGAAAAGTTGAGACCATACCTCTGTGGAAGGGTTTCAGAGACAATCCAGTTGTTAATCATCCTGGTAACCAGCAGATCCAGGTAGAGGAGTGGAAATTCTGATGCTTCCCGCCCTAGGCTGTGGTGAGGTGGATGCACAGATGGCCACTGCCATGGAGGGGCCCAGGTCCCCAAGAAAATACAGACTTGATAAGGAACTGCCATGGTGCTGAGCTCAGCCCTTGCCCGCCACATGGAGGCTGCCCTGTGCCCGGGATGGGGAGGCATTCTTTAGTGGTAATAATCGTAGCTAACACACGCAAACACTTACCATGGGTTAGTTGTTGTTCTAAGCACATTATGCACCGTAATTAATATAATGTTCACAATAACCCCAATGAGGTAAGTACAATTATTATCCCCATGTTACAGATGAGGAAACTGAGGCTGAGAAAGGTTAAGTTGTCCTGGCAAGTGGTACAGCTAGTGTTACAGCTTGACTGGGGAAAGAACCAAGCGGCAAAGGAAGAGTCAGAGAACAGTCTTTATTCTTTCAGCAAGCTGGGACCAACTTCTGACCCCCCCCCTTCCTTATTCTCCTCTTGTTTTTATACCCTTGGTAGGACTCAAAAAGCATCCAATCAGCAACAAGCTTTAACATCCAATTAGCAACAAGCTTTAACATCCAATTAGCAACAAATTTTAACATCCAATCAGCAACAGTGGGATTCAAAAAGTGTCCAATCAAGATAGTATGGCCAGCCGGGGAGCACTGAGCACCGCCCCAACACGGGAGACCTGGCCCCAGCAGGGTGCACCCACCATGGCCTCCAGCAGGCACAGCCCCTACTGGCAGGGATGTGGAACCATGGGGAGGCAGCCGTGTCCTGGCACCAGACGATTTTTCCCTGTCAAAGTGACTTCCCCAAAGCCCTCCACCTAGCAAATGTCAGAGCCAGAATTCACACCCATACAGTCTGGGTCCTAGTTCTTAACCCTTATATCCTACCATCTTTGTAACAAGGGATACCTTGAACATAGGCACCAACCACATCTGGCAGTAGTTCTGAAGTATGCCTTGCCTTACAATTTACTTCTATTCCCTCAAAGCTTCGGTATTGTCCACCATAATAGCCCATATTCAAGCAGACTATAGGAAATTAAGGAATTTTTATGTTTTCCTATAGCCACAGCAGACATGCTGATTATACACAAAGCTATCCTTTGCAAGCTATCTTTGCAAATCTGTCACCCATTTAAAAATGCATCTTTGCTCATATCTGAGCTTCATTTCTGCTTTCCTTTTGAAGAAGTGCATTTCCTCCTCTGTGGGCTCCGTCTTAGAAACCTATACTGCTCATCTCCCTCCTAGGAGTCAACTCCAGGCACAAGCTTTGAGATGGCCAGTCCCCTTGCAGCTGCCCACAAACAATAAGTAAATAATACAAAGGATGACTGAGGGTTTCAAGTTTCCTGTTTACAGCCTCCTTCCAATGCGGATCTCTCCGGGAGAAATGTAAGGCTGGCAACAGATTAACAAGGGTTCAGTTATTTTACAAGGGAGAACAATGGGTCCTCTGACTACTTTTGATTCATTCCCTCTCTGGTTTCCATGGAGCGTCATAAGAGGATCTATGTGTGTGTCAATAGAGTGGAGGGAGAGAAGCGGCCCAGGGCAAACAGGGAAGGAAGCGTCAGCCTGATGAGCCTCCATCGCAAAGAGACTACCACCAGCACTTGCCATCCAGTTCCTGTGTGGGTGGGCTCTCTGCGGGGGAAACGCAATGGCACAGTCCCCATTCGGCCGGGCTCATTCTTCCCTTCTCGGGAGATCTCTGCCCCTGAGGTCTGTCCCCTTCTCGGCCTTATTCTTGCCTCCATCTTTGCTCTTTCATTGTGGCTAGTTGGAAAAGCTGTTTAAGAAATCAGACGTGCCTGCTGCAATGCTTATGGGGTGGAGGGGACAGGTGAAAACGAATATTAAGGGATTGACCTTGGGATCAGCGGTACTAACGCCCGACATCTGTAGACGGTTGGCTATGCAAAATCGAATCCCCCTGTTGACACTGCCGTCATCCCTTCCCCTTATCCCCCTGGCTCCCGTTTAGGGCATATGACTTTGGTCTAAGCCAATCAAGGCAGTGCATTTCCTCAGCCTCCAATGATTGGGTCATTGATGATCATGTGACTTAATTAGAGCCAATGAAAGAGGCAATGATACTCTCGCTGGGAATTCTGGGAAAGAGACTGTCGCTCTATCCTCGCTTGACGTGGGAGGTGTGAGTGTTGGGCTGCGTAGCCATCTCGCTACCGGGAAGAGGACAAGAGAGACTCTGGATCTTGAGGGCAGAGCTTGAGCCCCTGAATCCATGTCTGAAGCAGGTCCTGCCTCCAGACACTTAGTTACGTGATTCAGTAAATTTTCTTTGAGCATTGTCGTGGGTTGGATTTTCTGTTTCTTGCAACCAAAAATATTGTCTATTTCCCCCTAGGGAAAGTTGAGGGGAAGAACTCGTGCTGCTGGAGAAAGGGCAGTTCACAGCCCTTCAGCCGGGAAAGAGATTCTCACCGGAGGCTATTTGTCCCTTTATGTTTATTGTGAAAAGACAGGACCTGCAATATACGCTTTTAGAGCCATTAGCTTTTCCATTCCCTTCAATCTAAAACTGACGTATTTATGGGCGGTGGGAGACGCTGTCCAGTTTATTATTCAAGTGGAGGTTGGTCTGTTTTAAGGTGAACACAGACTTCCATAAAAGTCGTCCATATCTGCTTTTGGTCACCATGCCTTTAAAATGCGTGCATTATCTCTATCACACCGTGTTTTAAGCTAGGGGATGGTATATGAAGATTTTTGGCCAGGGGATTCAGAAAACACCTGAATCCTGCCTTTGGCCTACTAGCCCCATCTGCCAGCAGTGCCCCTACGGGAACAATAAGTAGCACTTTATTTTTAGAGAGAGCTTCGGCATAAATGCGAATTCAAGTAAGCGGGGGCCTCGTGCTTCTTTCCTGTCACAATTCAAGCCCAATTCTCAGGTATTACCAGTTTAGCTTTCTAGTTCCACTTCCTCTGGCACTGGGTGATGTGTATTGGGTCAGAATTTTTGTTGTTTGGTTTGGTTTGCTTTTGCTTTTCATTTTTTAACTGTAACAGAGAAGGAAAGGAGAGCATTTTGCCACCTTTGCCCAGAATATTTGCTAAATGGTGGCTGCCCAAGTCCTTTCAAACCGGGTCAACAACTCTGAACCTGTTTCCAGGAGGAAGGAGGAATGTGTGTCCAAGAAGAGAAAAAAATGAAGGAATATGGAAAAGGGAAAGACATGAACTAGGGCTACCCCACCATTCTGGCTGGAAGTAGGAGAAAGAAGAGGAAAAAAATGTATGTATGCTACATATGCTATATAACTTATTTTTGCTGAAAATTCCACTTCTAGAATATGTGGGCCACTAAAAATCTTGGAATCTAACCAATTAGATCAGTACTCTCACAGCATAACAAGACAGGAGGTAAAAGGAAAAGCAAGAGAATGTTTGAAAGCTTGCTCTTAATAATCAAGACTATAGTATTAGTAAGGAGAATGCTAGCTACAATAGCAAATCATCTCCAACATTTCAGCAGCCTAACACAATAAAAGTTTATTTCCTGTTCATAAAACAATTCAAAGTGGGTATTTCTCACTAGCAGGCTGCTTTCCTCCACAGTGATTTAAGAACCCATGTTTCCTCAATCTTAAGGCTCTATCTTATGGCAATGGTTTTCAACTTTAACTGCATTTTGTAATTACCTGAGGAGTTTTGTGGTAATACCCCTTCCCCCAAGACATTCTGATTTTATTGGTTTGAGTTGCAGCGTGGGCATCAAAAAGTTTAAAACAGCTCCAGGGTTGTCGAAAGTACAGCCAGTATTGCAGGAGAGCATTGCCCTAGGCAGTGGTTCCCAAAGTGTAGTCTCCAGACTGGGGGCATCAAGAGCATCTGGGAACTTGTAAGACTTGCAAATTGTCAGGTCTCAGATCTGCTGAGTAAGAATTCTGGGGATGGAAACCAGCAATCTGTGTTTTAACAGCCTTCTAGTTGATTCTGATGCCTGTTCAAGTTTGTGAACGACTGCCCTAGCAACCCCCAAGTTCTCTGCCTCCAGGTAGAAGGGAAAAGAGAAAGCACGAAGAAGCACACCTCTTTCTTAACTACCTTGAACTGGAAATGAGGACGTTTTGGCAATATTTAGTCACGTGGGCCAAGCTAGATGTAGAGGGGTGGGAAATGTGACCCACCCTGGCTGGGCAGCCTGTTTCTGCAATAATCATGCATTCTGGAGTTGTCTACACCCACCCCACATTCCACACCAAATCAGGATTGAAGACAGAGGAAAGACAATTCTAAATTCTAGTTGTGACATAGATGGTCAGGGCTCCCAGGTCCTAGGACTTTGAGACTAAACAAAACCTGTAAAAAGACATGCAAATTATTTATGTTGATACAGGATAGATTGGGTTCATTCAGATAGAAGAATTAACACATAAAAATTGCACAAATTTATAAGCAATATGTCATGTCTTATAATGGTAATTTTTCATCACAGTGATAAAGTCTCTTGAGTCCTTATTCTGACTAAATCTCTCTAAGATTCACCTCCTTCCCATGTCCTTCTCCCCAGCAGCTCAACAGCAATTTGAGGCAAAGACGGAAGATTGTAGGCACAGTGATGTCTCAGAAATCAATCCCGAAGAAATCTGCCTACCCGAGGCTCCTGCTGTGCTATGGTGGAGAGAATAGAGACCTTACAATCAAGCAGTTTGATTCATGTTCCTGTCCTGGCTTTGCCATTTCTTTTTCCTGTGTGACTTAGGGTGAGATACTTACCCTCTCTGGGCCTCACTTTTCTCTTCTGTGAAAGAGATAAAAGTCTTGGCTTGTAAAATGATTGGGACAACTGTATGCAATGAAACAGGTAAAAGTATTTTAAAAGTGTCAGTGCTTCTAATCACCCTCTTTCTCTTCCTGTGCTCTGGGTGGGAATAAACCCATAGTACACATGCAGGCAAAATAAGCCAGATTCTGGTTTCCATTCCAGGAGAATGCTATTTGGGTGAATTTTGGCTGCACTGTAATGACAAAAAGAATTCAGGCCATTCTTATCATCCCCAACAGGCCACATGCAGGAGACGCACTCAAGATGTTTTAAGCCTGTCTGAGGGATGGGTAAGTACAAGCGATTCTTATTAAAGCTATTTATAGCGAGGAGCAAGTCTGGCTAGGCCTGCCTTTCCAGTCTGCCTCATTGGCAAGGTGGTGGGTCCCTGACTTCTGTCTGCTATGTGTTCCTTGTGGTTTCTGTCCTCTCTGGCTTTGGTGTTATGTTTCATTCAGACTGGATGCCAAGGAGATGGTGCGGTCCAGAGAGCTAAGGAACAGCCTGAATGGCTGAGGACTTTGTGCTGTCTGTAACACTTCAATTAGCCAATGTCACAGAGAAAAGACAAGCTTCGAATATTTCGCCCATTTGGGGGCAGAGAAAACTCTGGCCACCTAAACACTTGGAAAAAACCCAGCTCCTTCAAAGTTAAAGGCCACTTTGGGCTCCCTGCTTCTTTATGAGGGTTAAGTGGCCAGGGAGGGTCCAGTACAGGGATGAGACCAGACAATTAGTGACATTTACAATTTACAGTTTTGTGCAATGGATTAGCTCACAGATATTTTAAATTCTGGGCTTCAGAGTCAGTTCAGAACCCATTATAAAACAATGACAACAGTAATAAACTCATATATATGTATATATAGATAGTGTTTTTCAAATGTTCTTATAAAACATTTTCATACAGTATAAGAAGGGTGATCCTTTCAATTTCCTGGGATCACCTAAGTTAATATCCTTATATGTGTTGTTTGGAGATCAGTTGGTATCATGGAATTCAAACCCACTGAAAGGTACCAATTGTATGTGTTATAGACAGACTGTACCAATCTGCATTTCTAAGTAATACAGCCTTGTATCTAAGTGATATTTCTCTCCCTAGTCTTGCCTGGAGCTAAGGCTTGGCAATCAATTCTTGCTGCCAAGTTTGTGACATGGTTGGGATTGTGTGAGCTCTACAGAATTCACATGAAAGGTAATCCACGTTCCTCCTCTTGCATCCTGCCCTTAAATTTACAAGGGTATGTTCCTACTTGGAGCCTCTGAATATTGTAATAAAATTGTCACATGTCGTTAACACAGTTCAATTCTGCAACTTAACTGATTGGAAAAACTGATTCAATTGCAAACTTTCTTTTGGCAACAGCATTAGCATCTTCCTAAAATATATGAGATTTGCCATTAACAGATGGTTTGAGCTGGGTCCAGGGAGGCTGTTGACAGATATCTTGGGATGGATCTTATTACATTGACATCGACATCGCTGAAAAATGTCCCATGGGAAATGTCTTCACAGGCCTGGAGGCTGACAGAACAAGATGGAAGCCCTTCAAGAGAATTGCTAATAAAGAAAGACTGAAAATGGGCACAACCATTTGGAGGTAATTTGGCAATATGTATTGAGTCTTAGGAATTCATACCCTGCAATTCATTCATGACTCTGCATTTGTCTTCTCGAGTTTTACTTGAAAGCACTGCTCAGACATGTGTGCTGAGATTTATGAATCGACCTTCATTGCAGCATTAAACATATAATGGTGAAGAAATGGGAAGTCCCACAATATGGGGCCGTTTAAATATACTAGTTATATTTATATTCATACTTACTATGATAAAATAAAATTGGGATAAAGAAATGTTTATTTAGGGTGATATAAGTTTTGTAAAAGAAAAAAAAGACTTGAAGGAAACAAATTCTAAATGTTAATAGCAACTATCTAGGGGTTGGTTATATCACAAGTAATTTTTCAACATTTTATTCTTGTATTCCCAGTGAATTTCCTGTGAAGGTGTTACTTTTCGAGTCATAAAAATATGTGCTATTTTAAATGATATAAACAGCAGTATATAGAAAATTTTGAATAGGGAAAAGTATCACCTATAATCAATACAACAATTTTAACTTTTATGTTCTAGGCTTTATTCATGTGTGTGGGAATGTTTTATATAAGCAGAGAGCATCTATAGTTTTGTGTTCTATTCCTTACCATCTACATAAAAATAGTACACAGCAAAAAATCTGTTGAACCTGAAAAATTGTGTACACATATACATTATATAATATAAAATATCATATCACATACTAATTTAATTGTTTGACATTTGATAATCAACATATGTGAGTAACTCTCCTAATCATAAAATCTGCTATCCAAAACCATTTAACTTCTATTTTCTCTATAGCAGAAAATCCTACTGTGGGCTTAAAATCAGGGATCTAGAACTAACCACTTGAATTTAACCAATTTAGCAAATTTTTAATATATACAAAATATTCTTCAAGAATGTCAAATTTAAACTTAACTCAATTCACTGGAGAAAAGGAACAATGGGTTTTAAAAACCCAGTGGGTGAAAAATCTATTAAGCCTTGGGAAGCAGCAACAGTAGTGAAAGTATTTCTGAGATAGATGCAGAAATGAAATTGAGGATGACAGCACCACACAAGGGGCTGTGGCTAAAGCCTTGACTTGATGTCCATAATGACAATGACCTCAAGGGAAATTTCGAAGAGTATGAAAATTCTGTATTTAAAATCAAAATCAGGATTGATGTGGGAAACAAATCTACTGTACTGCCTTCTGAAAAACAACGCAGAACCTGCAGTTGTATTTTAACAAGGCCTGCCTCCTACAATTCAAGTCAAAATATTACTTTCATCAGAGAATTACTTTTGTTCTTCCATGAAATAGCACAGGAAATATGTTATGAAATTACTTGCCAAGGTCAAGAAAACTCATAATCTTGACAAGGGGAAGAAAAAAACTGGGGGCAATTTCCCCTCTCAGGGAACATTTGGCAATGTCTGGAGACATTTTTTGGTTGTCACAGCTGAGGAGTTGGGGGACCGGTGCTGCTGGCATCTGGTGGGTCAGGACCAGAAATGTTGCTAAACATCCTACGATGCACAGAACAGCCACCTACAACAAAGAATTATCCAACCCAAAATGTCAGTGATGCCGAGGTTGAGGAACCTTGGTCTCTAGCTGGTCACAAATGATTTGGGAAGAAATAATCAACTGGAGGACCCCTGCCATTCTGTTCTAGGGGGTGGAGAAGGTCACAGTGTAGGTGGGGTGGCTAAAGGGACTTATTTTTCCAAGTCCCCCTTTACTGGACCTGAGGCCAGGTGGAAAAGTTTGGCTCCCAACTCCTCATGACCCAGGCCTCAGTTACATCTTTCATAAGGATAGATGAAAACTTAAATATGATAAAAATCTTTTCTTAACTGGAATTTGTATAGGCAAAATTCCCAATTTAGCAGACATTTTTTCCCTCCCTGTACAAGGAGAAAGGAACAAAATACCAGAAGGAAAAGGCTCATTTCAAGAACTTCAAAAACATGTCCTAGAGTTGAGTCCCAATCTCCTGTTTTTGTTTTGTTTTTTCTGTACAATGGAAATTGGGGTCTAGAATGTTTAGCCTGAGGTCCAGCCTGACCCTCAACAATCAGACAAACAATAAATGACATTTGGAATAAACTGTCCTTCTTAAGGCAGGAAACTCGACTCAAGCTTTTCAGTAAGATTTTCAACATCGATGGTTGATGTGGAAAGGATTTTCTGGTTAAGCCTGAGATAACCCGGAATCTCCCCTTCCCTGAGCATTTTGGCTAATTGGAGTTTTCCTGTAGTTTACATTCTTCAAGATATTCTTGACACTGGCAAGGTTTACAGGAAGGGCTAGTGACAGTATTAAAAAGGCAAATCCAAATGTTTCCTTTCTGCATTTTATGTCTGTAATGTTGGAATGTATTAAAATGAGCATGTAACATTTCTTCATAATAAAGAAAAACAATTCAACTGTGTGGAGTTTTTTTGGGTTTTTTTGTTTTGTTTTTGGTCCCCTCCCCCCCCCCCCCCCCCCCCCCCCCGCCCCAACTGTGTGTTTTTTAAAAATCTAAATAAAATAAAGAAAACGTGCAATAGGTAGAAAGGAATTAACTGGCCTACAGAACAGCAGCAGGAGAAAAATTTGGGTTCTGACTTGCAACCTATTCTAGGTGGACAGTTCTGTGTGGCTGTGTCAGTTTGGAGGAGTTTGGAAAGTTCGATTTAAACGTTTGCCAGAAAGTTCGATTTAAATGTTTGCCGGAAAGTTCGATTTAAATGTTTGCATCATTGTTTTGCTAGGAATGAACCACATGGAGTTAAATGGCTTTGCCTGAATCTCTCTAATCTCATTCTGACAGGTTTGTATCCAGGCTGGTTACAGCCAGGACTGACTCTTCTCCGTTATTGCTAATTGGCAGCAACAGACAGTATGTAAACTGGAATATGAGAAAGATGGGGAAAAACAAAACCAAAGCCAAACTCTAAAACTCCAATCATCTTTAATTAGTCAAGAGAAATCAACAGCTTAAGAACGTACACCTACTGAGACAGCGTGAAGAGCTGGCAGCAAAGTGTTTCTGAGTCCATCTGAGGCTCTCGTGCCCCTCACTTAATCTTCACTGGCTTTTGTTTTTTCCACCTTTATAAATAAGGTGTTAAAAATTGCCAACCTCCTGTTTGTACCAGATATAGCAATGCTGAATTTGGAAATTTTAAAAATGCTGAAATGTCCATAATAGCTGTGGTGCTAGAAGGTCATTTTCCCTGTCCCTGTCTCTTTCCCTGAAGGTAGGTAGAGACTATCCAATATTGTGCAAATACTAAGCCACAGTCCGATGTCAGTTAACCAGAATCTACCTAACAGGATGTCTAATTAAGGCATATTTTTTTTTCCTGTTTAACAATGTGGAGTAGTGAAAACACCATCATCCTCAGTTCTCCTCAGACCTGGGTTTAAAATCTTCCATGACTTTCTAGTTGTGTGACCTCAACAAAATCAATGTGCTTCCCTGAGACAGAGCTTCCTCATTGGCAAAATGGTTTTGTGATGGTTACTCTGTAGTGGGTGGCAAGGATTAAAGCAAACAATACATGCAAAGCAAATGGTTGGAACTCAATATATATCAATCCCATTCCCTGCCCCTCCAAGACAGAACTCAACACAACACCGCCCACTCATGCAATACACATTTATTGTTACTGTTGAGTGTTTTTGTTGAACACCTTTAGGGAAAGGAGTGAAAGCATCAGAGACCAAACCAAGAGCGAAGATTTAAATCAAAGGCAATTTCTGCAAGTTCTGCAGTGAATTTATGATAGGTGTGACTCATAGTTTTCAGGTTTCTACAGATAGAGTTCTGAATAATGAGAACTGGGATGTTCTTCACCATGACCGTAACATTCTTCAAGATCTTCAATTGTCTCTGACAAGAAGATCTTGTGTTCTAATGTATTGGTTAGAACTCTTTAGCTTCAAGTAACAAAAGCTACTTTAAGCTAGCTTGGATATGGATTTGGGTGTGTGTGTGCACATGCGTGCACATGAATGCGTATGAGTGTTTGTGATAAGGAGAGATTTCAAGGTGTTTTATAGAGTCCAAACTTGTTTCTATTTCTCACTGTATATGCATTTTATTTTTACTTTCCCAAACACCAGCTTTTGTTTCACATCCCAAACAGCTGCAGAAAAACAGCTGCCCCACAATTCTAGAGGTTATGTTACAATCACATGAAGGGATTAGTGCAACCTGATGTTGCCCCATTTTAAATTCCCAGACTGTGAAGCTGATTGGTCCAGCTAGAGTCCACTGTGCACCTCAGCTCCAATCATCTACAGCCAGGGAGGCAGGATCCCATTGTACATACATGGCTGCTGGAGGTTCACTCCTACAATTTTGAGGATGGGGATAAAGTAGAGTTTCCAAAGTATCATTAGGTGTGGACACAACAAAGCTGTCATTCTACTCTAAATAGTAGTGAAAAAGGTGAATTTTGGAATAATTTTCAACAGCCAGGGTCACCATCTAAGAGGCTTTTTTTTTTTTTTTTTTTTACATATCCCATAGTTAAGCCAAAAATTTAATTAGACTGAATTTCTTTTGCGTGCATTCCAATTATAGCAGACATGGATAGATGGTTGCCTACCTAACAGCCTGTTTCTCCTTTCTTCTCAGTTGGCAGGACTGCACATTTATGTGGGTGTCCACTCCCCCATCATATCAGTTATAGAAATATGACCCCCATCCCTGTGTTTAGAAGTAAATTAGTCTAATGGTTGCATTTGCCCTTCTAGTGATTGGCTTAGACACAGGCATATGACACAATTCTGGCCAATAAAACATGATAGAGAATCTGTTGAGAGACCTTCTGCAGAAACAAACTTATAGAAACACACCCTCTCTTTCCAAACACTTTAGTATCTGGATGTGATGCCTGGAACTATGGCAGCCGCCTATGACCATGAAGATCTTAGCATGAGGATGGAAGAGCAGAAAGATGGAAAGAACTTGTTACTGAGCAATCAGTGGGCTCACTGCCCAGTGCACATAGAAACCACTACCATGGCACCGGGCTGGACTTTGAAAAAGGAAAAGCTTTATTGCAAGTCAAGTGGAAAGGAGACAGGAGGAAGGCTCAAATCTGTCTCCCCAAGCTGGGGGCCTGAGTCAGATTTTATAAGCATAGGGTAATGAGACATGATCTGATTGGATCTTGCAATGGGGTGATGCCAGGGCTTGATTCCATTGGATACTGGATCCTGCCATTTGGTGTCTGCTTCTTAATTCAGTCCCCACTCCTCAGTCCAACCTAAGAACTTAAGTTCCACCTAAGTTGCATACTTGGTTCCTCTGGACATGCTCTGGTTGCATGACCTTGAACCTGGGCATCCATGGCAGCTGAAAAACAACTCACAACTTTGTTACATAAAAATTGAGCCAGATTGTTCTAGTGTGGTTACAAACTTGGGTCCTTGATGATGTTATTTGAGCTACTGGATTAAACCACCATGGACTATTTTACCTCTGGGATTCTTGTTATTGGATAAAATACATTTTCTTATTGTTTAATCCAGTTGAGCCGATTTTTAATTTTTAGTTACTTGCCTCCCCAAACTTCCTAACTGACACAACTCTTAATTAATACAAATCATGAAGCCACAAATAAACCGTGCGTTAATGAGGGCTGACTTAGTAGCTGGAGAACAATGCTGCAAATGCTTACAAGATGTCCCTTAGGCGACATTGATATTGGTAGCCAAGAGATCATAAATCATTTCTAATGCTTCCAGGGCCTTATCAATATACAGCATTTTGCAAGCACAGCAACATTTTTTTTATGTTTATAAAAAAAAGTACCTCAAAGGAATTATCTGTTTAAAGTAGCTTTTTTAATGCTTCCAAATCTTTGCTCCTTTAGACAGGGAGTTGGACACGTTTAAAGTGGTTTCATTGTACGTTCTGCTTGCTCGAGTTTGATAGGCTGTGTTTTCATGACAGGTCTGTCCCTGCACTGAGTGTCTGGGATGCTTTGATGTGGGCTGCTTTCGGACAGCCTAATACTTGGGGGAAAATGTGCTGAAATTGAACAAGATTGCTTTCTGCCCAGCTGTTCTCCAAAGGCTCAGACATTTTTAGCACTGAGCAAAGAAGCTTGTATTTGTTTTGACAGTCTTGGCAGGGAGAACAATGGTTGATTATCCCAGCACTTTACTAACAAATAAGACTGCCTCCAGCAGAGATAAAATATGGGTCTTGACTTGATTGCATTTCTTGTCCAAGGGAATTATCTTCTATTCATTCCGATGCCCTTTTCATTATGCAGTGTATCTTTTCTGTTCTTTATCCTAGCCCCGCAAAGTAACCCATGGCTTTTGGTGTGAGAAGACAGATTCCCAAAATTACCATGGCCATGGCAGTTTGATTATCTTATAAAACATATACTGTATTTTCATGTCTCCCAATTTGATTTCTTGGAAGCTAATTTTTGTTTGTTTGTTTGCTTTTGGTTCTCCAGATGTGTATGGTTAGTTTCTTCTCTAATTTTCTGTCTGCTTGCTTTTGGTTTTTTCTTTTTTATGTTGCTGCTACTGTTTTAGCATAAAGAAGTCTTGGATTTTACATCATACCTACATTTAAAGGGGCTATCCAAGATGCTTTTTTCACCCATATAGAGAACAACTATGTTTCCTTTAAAAAGGGGACTTTTTAATATTTTCATGAGAACACTTCTATTTTCTGGTCATTCTTCACCTTCCAAAAGATTTTAAAAATTAGATATTTCTGTAAGTATGACATAGATGCATGTGCCTTTTCACAAAGTGAACACACCTGTGTGACTATTGTCCTCTGTTGTTCCATCACTGTTTGCCTCTTCCCAAAGGTAACCACTATTCAGACTTCTACCATCAAGATGACATTTTCCTCTTTTACTCAACATTGTGTTTGTATGATTCAGTTGTGTTATCATGTCTAGTGGTAGTTGCTTCATTTTTATTGTGGCATACTATTCCATTGTGTTAATACACCACATGTTATGTCAATGGCCATTTGGCATGTATCCATTTGGGGCTATTACAAATAGTATTGCTATCACATTTTGCACATATCTTTCAGTGGAATGTCCATATTTTTCTTAGTTATATATACCTAGAGGCAGAATTGCTGGGGAATAGGTTATGCATATGTTCACCATTGGTAGATTGTCCCAATTAACACTTCCACCAAAAGGGTGCAAAAGTTCTGTATTAATTCAAATCCTTGGACTGGGTGCAGTGGTTCATGCCTGTAATCCTAGCACTTTGGGTGGCCAAGCAGGGAGGATCACTTTAGGTCAGGAGTTTAAAACTAGCCTGAGCAACATGGAGAGACCCTGTCTCTACAAAAAATACAAAAATTAGCTAGGAATGGTGGCATATGCCTGTAGTCCCAGCTACTCAAAATGGTGGCATATGCCTATAGTCCCAGCTACTCAAAAGGATGATTGCTTGAGCCCAGGAGTTTGAGGTTGCTGTGAGCTAGGCTGACATCATGGTGCTCTAGCCTGGGTAACAGTTGAGACTCTGTCTCAAAAAAAAAAAGATAATACAGAATTCCTGTATACCCTTCACCCGGCTTTCCCTAATAGAAACATATTACATAACCAGAGTACAATTATTGAAACCAGAAAATTAAGATTGTCACAATAATATTAACTAATTTACAGACCTTAATCCCATTTTGACAACTGGCCACTAATGTCCTTTTTTCAGTTCTGGATCCAATAAAGGATTCCTACATTGCCTTAAATTGTCATTGTATTCTTGGTCTCTTCCAATGTGGGACAGTTCCTCAGTCTTTCTTTGTCTATTATAACCTTGACACTTTTGAAGAATTGTTTTGTTGAATGTCCCTCAATTTGGAATTGTCTGATGTTTCCTCATGATTATTAACACTAATTCAATCATTAGCAACTATAAACATGGTGTTTCTGAGAAGTGTTAGTTCATCCACATTGACGGAAATGCTGAAATAATAACGTATTTGAGTTTAAATCTACCATCTTATAATTTGTTTTCTCTTTATTCTATATTCCTTTTTCTCTCCTTTGTTGCCTTCTTTTGGATTGTTCAAGTTTTCTAAAAAATCATTTTACTTCTCCCTTGTAATTGGCTTTTTAGGTATATATTTGTTTTCCTTTTTTTTTTTAAATTTAAGTGGTTATCTTAGAAATTACACCATGTATTCCTAATTTATAATAGTTTAATATAAATTAGTACTTTTACTACTTCCTGGACAAAACAAGAACCATAGAATACTTAGAATACTTTAACTACATTTATATCCTTCCACCCAGATGGATTTTGGAAAATAGTTATGAAGGTATCCTACGAGTTTTCTAGTTAAGATGTTCTAGGTAGAGAAAACAGCAAGTTTGTGTGCTGATGCCTTCTTTGCCCCCCACCCCCAACCTACTCTCTCCTTTCTCTGTGACCTGGGAGGCTGACCGCTTGGACAACTGCATCACCAAGGTGGCCTTGACCTTGGCCTTTCTGTTTTGTAGCCAATAAGAGGGACTGGCAGGAAACTGCAAGATTAAAGCAGTTGAAATATTTATTCTCTC